AGCGATGTGGTCAGGGGAACAACGAGACACAATGGGACAAGCGCCAGCGGATCAAGGATCAGCACGGCGAGCGCGAGATTGAATTCGCCGACGTGGATGATCACAACGTGGTGACAAAGACCGTCATGGGAGCGCGGGTGCGGCAGCAGGCGGGGGTGCCACACGGAGCGCACCACGAGAGGATCATGCGGGGAGAGGCGGGGAGAGATACCCCGGGAGCCGCCCCAAGGAGCGAACTCAGGGGCTGCCTCGTCTGTAAGGCCGCGAGGGACGCGGCGAGGAGGGCGGCACTAAAGCGAGACCCGCTGTGTCCGATCGTGCGGAAAGCCGCGCAGCAATGGACCGAGGAAGATGAGAACCCGCCTAGGGCGACAATGGCGCACTTGCTTAGCGGCGCCTGCCTGGGGAATAGGGAGCAGGCCAGATGGTTCCTCAGAGTAGCGCGAGCGCAGACGGGGACGGCGATCAGCAAAGTAGCCCAGGCGGCACCCGACTCCAAGGATACACTGAAGACGCTGAGGATAGCGCATGTCGCTGCGCTGAAGGGCTCACGCTTCCTATAGGGTGCTGGATGAGGACGGGTACGAGGCACTAGCCCCAGCCGTCGGGGGGGTGTTGCCAGCACTGGTAGATGGCCTCTCGGAGAAGAGCCGGAGGGACCTTGGCGCCGGGGTCACGAGGAACTTGCAAGTCGTGGCCGAGGCGGCGACGGGAGCGGTGCAGAGGTGGATCCAGCTCAACGATGAGGCTACCGCGCGCATAATGAAGAGAGAGGAACACATTGACGATTGAGTGGCTGAGGAAGCTCTTCGCTGGGTGGAAGGAGGCCCGGCCAGCCTTGAGGGAGTCGCGGAGGAGGAGGGATAACAGAGGTAACGTGGGGACGGGCCAACAGCCAGTGGGACGAACGAGGGCCACGACGGCGGCCCAAGCGGGAGGGAGCGGAGACAGTGGGCACCCACGGGGCGGTAACGCCCGGTCGCGCGCGCCGCGCGCGCGCTGCGCCGCTGCCGCCGCGCCCCCCTTCGCCGTCTGTTTCCCGCCGTATGGTGTGCGGTGCGCGCACGCGCAGCGCACACGGCAGCGGCTCCCCACCCCCCTGAGCCTGACCCACCCCGTGCCGCGCCGCCGCCGCCGCCCCCGCCGCCGCCGCCGCCGCCGCTGTAGCGTTTGGGGGGGCGACTGGCGACGGCAAAAATGCAAGCCCCGCCCCTGGCCACTGTATTTTCGGTGCGGCGTGTGGTGCTAGCTAAACCGTCGCCCACCCTTGGGCGTCTGCCTCTTCCTATCTCTCCTCGCAGTCTCTCGCCAATTCTCGCCGCGCCCTTCGTGCCACCTCGCGGTCTTCTCACTCTCGTCGTTCTCTCTCCTGTCGCATCATCGTTTTACCATGCTTTACTCCGCTTCGCTCCTGTCGCATCATCGTTTTACAATTGTTTACTCCGCTTCGCACAATTGTAAAAGAAAGAAAGAA